CACCTGGTCTCGCAAAAGGTTGGCCCGCGACGGACAGTCCTGACGTAGTTCAAAGGGTCACCCACTGTTCTCTTCTAGGAGAGGGGCTGTGTAGTGACTTGGAGATTATCATGTTTGTCTGTGCAAAATATTATTTAAAGTATAGTATCATTCTGTACATAGACAATTTAGGAAGCTTGCCTGTTCGCACGATGACTACGTGTGTTTGAGTTACGCAGACGAATCGCATTCGCACGCTTCCGGTTTTTCCGCCTCAAAGAGCGTTTGCTGCGTCTCGGCTGGTGACTAGACCTTCCCCTAGCTAGAACCATTTTTACGGATTTTTACGTTTCGACAATAAACCCATATCTCGTCCCTATATTTATCTTTGCACGACGTATCCTTGGGGCGGGACGAACCTAACATTATAATGATAGAACGATTCCGCTATAGTTTTCTATCCCGATGTTGACTTTACCAATTGGGAGTACCAGGTGTCGGTTTATTTGTCAGGCATTCCTGAAAAACACGCTGGCGAATTCATTCTCAGTTTTTTGAACGATGAAGCTGTCCGTATTTTTCCAGCAGTCGGTGTTTCCCCTAGCGGCCCCTCTGAAGTTTGGAACGCTTTACACCGCTTATTTATGAAGGCAGAACCATGGGCCATCCACAAAGAGAAGTTTGCTGTTCGAAAACAACTAGTGGGCAAAAGTATGGATGCGTTTTCTCGCGCGCTTGTAACCCTTGCATCGAGACGATGCCATTCGGTTTGACCAACGCCCCAACTACGTTTCAGCGGTTGATGCAAAAAAATCTGGAAAGCCTTGTATCTAAAGGTTGTTTGATTTACTTGAATGATATAATTATTCATGGCAAGTCGATTGAAGAGCACCACTATCAGTTGCGGTCGGTCTTGGAGAGATTGCGTCTTGCAAGACTCAAAAGAATCTAAGTACCATTTTCTTCGAAGCCAAGTGAATTTCTTGGGTCACATAGTCACATTAGATGGCATTAAAACAGACTCAGACAAATGTGCAAAGATCAAAACTTGGCCTAAGCCACAGCATCTTGAGGATTTACGAAGCCTTCTCGGATTTTCTTGATATTATCGACGGTTCATTAAAAACTTCGCTACCATCTCCGCGCCTCTACACCGTCTAACCGAGAAAGGCTGACAGTTTGTCTAGACCGACGAATGCGAACGTTCCTTCACGACACTAAAAGTGTGTTTGTCGTCGCCACCAGTTTTAGGACTACTGGACACGTCGGCAAATGCGGGACCATTCATCTTTGACACAGACGCGAGCGAGCAGGCGATTGGTGCTGTGTTGTCCCAGAAGACTACGTCTGGGGAGACGGTGATTGCCTGTGTAACTCGACGTTTGGACAAGTGTGAAAGGAAGTATAGCACAACAAGACGCGAACTACTAGCCCTAGTTAAATTTCTGAAGCATTTTCGACCCTACCTGCTGGGTAGGCCGTTTTGTGTCCGGACGGATCACCAATCCCTTCAGTGGCTACTCGATTTCCGAGATCCCTAGGGTCAGTTGGCCCGATGGCAAGAAGACTTGCAAGAGTACGATTTTACATATGAATACCGGCCTGTCAGTCTGCATGCCATTGCGGATGCGCTGTCACCGTTATCGGCACCCGATGAGGTAAACGTATTGTCGCAAGGGACCGATACTGATACAAGGTGGGCACAGGAACAAGCTGATGATCCTTACATATCGAATATTTACAAACGTCAGGTAGAAGGTTCACCGAAATCTACTGGCACAGAAAGGCGATCACGTCCACTAGACGAACGGGCTTTATGGGGTCATTGGAACAGTCTAAATTTCATTAATGGGATTTTATACCGCATGGACAAATCAGGTCCGAAACTAATCACACCGACAACGAAAGTGCCTGGAATACTGCAGAGTATCCACCTCGAATTAGGTCATGCGGGCCGACTGAAAACAGAGGCTGCAGTGCGCCAAAGTTACTGATGGCCGGGAATCCACACAGATGTCATGAAATTCTGCAATGAATGCGAGCATTATGCCACTGTCAAATCATATACGCCGACACCTCGTGCCCCCCTGACACCGATAATCACTACCGCTCTTCGTTAACGAGTGGGAGTGGACCTTATGGGGCCTCTTCCAATAACGAGGAATGGAAATCGTCACATTTTAGTTACGGTCGATTATTTTACGAAATGCTTTGAGGCTGTACCCATGAAGCATCAAGATGCGACAACGGTCGCTTTTGGATTCGTTCATGCGTGGGTCGCGCGTTATGGTATACTTTTATCGCTTCGCTCGGACCAAGAGGCACCTTCGAAACTTACCTTGTACTGGAAGTCTGTCGACTACTCAGTTAGAAAGACGCGAACTACCCCATACCATCCACAACTAAATGGGCTCGTAGAGCGCATGAATCGACCATAAAAGGGATTCTGCAGGCTTTTCTTGAGTAGCATCAATCAAATCGGTGGGATGAAATACTTCCGCAGTGTATGATGGCTTCCCGAGCATCGGTACACTCGACTACAAGCTATTCTCCGGCCTTCCTAATGCATGGTCAAGAGCTGCGACTCCCACTAGAGTTGTCGTCACCGATTCCCCTAGCGGAAGCTTGCTCCCTATCAGACTATGTAAGAAACCTACGTGAGTGCCTTCGATCAGCATTCGTGTGAGAGAACATACAGGAAGAGCGCAGCAACATCAGAGGGCGTGTTATGACAGACACAGAACAGGTCCTGATTACCACGTCGGAGATCGTGTGTGGCTGCTCCGATCGAATCCCCCTCCGGGCACATCCAGCAAATTTCATCGATAGTGGCAAGAGTCATACAAGATCACATTCATCCGTTCACCTTCTGTGTACGTCCTACGCAGCGTCACGAACCCAAATGCTGATGTCGTGACTGTACATTACAACCAGCTGAAGCCTGAAACACAGATCTCAAGGGATGTTTCGACAGAGGTTTTCCCCCCGGGATGTATTCCATCGGTTGGAGAGACCGTTGAGATTCCTGCTGAAGGCGGGGTGGCCACCTATCCGGATATCGAGGCACTGAAGGGCAGTACCTACTGCAGGAGAGGGGGTGGTGTAACGGAATAGAAACCGCGATGGTTGTTCGAATAGACAGCCATTGTTAACTTGTTTCTTTCCGTTTACTTACAGGTGTGTACGAACAGTACAACCTTGAACTCATGGAATATAACGCCCTGCTCCTTTGAATTGTTACTAATGAACCGGTTGCTTATATACGTGTACGTTTTGCCCCCTCCGTCGTGTATTGTACCCGTACCGGTTTCGGATACAACCGCTGTGTTTCATCTCGCGTTCTCCCTCGTATCGTGCTTCGGTAGTGACTGAACATCGTGACAGCGTACGACTATCTTTGGAGTATAGCTTGCCCGTTACCTTGTCCGTTATGCACTAAAGCGTAACTTCTCGCTCTTTCAGCGTTCGTTCGTCCGTTGTCCCTCACCACTCACCTCGTTCTACCTTTTACAGATCGGCGCAGTCAACAAGGATCCTGACGCAAACGCTGGTCGTTTTCTTTGCAGGACGAGGGTCGCATCTTCGTGAAACGACGGTCGCTTCTTTCTGAAACCATGGTAGCTTCTTCGTGGGACGATGGTCCTTCCTGTGTGGGAGGAGGATTGTTTTGGCGCGGGGTGGGGTGCGGCTGGGGAGAGACCACCCCCAAGCACACCGTTTGGCAGCAGCGGTGGTTGAGGTTCTGTCGGCCTTTTTCTCCGCTAGCCAGCTTTCTTGCAGTCCGACAAACCCACTCCAACTACTCTCCGAAATGCACCCTGCCCTGCGATCAATAAATAATAAATCACAAACGGCACCGCGGACTCCGACTTTCCGCGAATCTCCATTTGACCCTAACACCCACTCACTCGGCACGATTCTGCCCTACCAACTTCGATTCACCCGTCATTTTCGACTTCGAAGGTTTCTTTTGTCCAGCTTTCTTGGTGGAAGCTCTGTAGCGCCCCAAAAGATAACTATTATTTTTGTGTACAATTTCGCTGATGACCAACTGTACACTATCCTTGTTTTAATCTCCCTTACATTACGTCCATGTTGACATACATCCGGCTCGACACTTGACCGTCTTGTAATTTCCCGCGCAAACGTGTTGCTCTTGTCTCGTTTCATCCGTCCGCATTTTCTTGTGGCCCATCTAATACAGTCCGCTGTATCCGACTCCATTTGCCTTCTGATATCCGCGCTTAATTTCGCGCTCCGTCTCAGACTAGTATTTACTAGTCCTAGCATATCTTGGCCTTTCCACCATGGCCTGTAAGGGACAAAATGGAACTGAAGGGGGTTTTGCGGGTGGGTTAGTGCAAGGCTTACGGGGGAAAACATATCCCGACCATTTGCTTGGCGTGGGGATGTACTCAATGCACTACCGGAGAAATATACGCGACCTGATCCTCACTTACCGTATCCTAACGGATAAGATCTATCCAGATTTGTCCTGGTTATTTATTCTCACCATGCTGCCTAGCCTCCGAGGTCACCCCTTGAAGCTGGACAAACTGCGTTCTTACCAGATATGGACGGAAATTCGCTTGTCGCGCCGGGTGACTGAACGTTGGAACTGGCTTCCGGAGCACATCGTTAGGGAACCTACAGTAGAGGGTTTCGAGGATCAGTTAGATGCTCTTCGGCAGTAATTCCCTTTCTCCTAACCGCATTGTATCTTCAGCTTTCTGCTCTTTTTCCCGCGTCTTTTTATACCTTAGTATTATCATTTAGCCGATATTTCTCCTCTTGTTTTCTTAGGTTACACTTCACTCTTCTTTTCACTTCACATAAACCGGTATGGCAGGGAGTGCTGGGCAGCGAAATGTGAGCAGTATTTGGTTGGACAGGGTTTTATGCGTTCTTTGTTTTAGGTTTTTCTACATCTCAAGAAGACCTATCAATTCCCGAATCATTCACGGGATTATCCTATCGTTCCAGTCCCAACTTAATTTGAATTTTATCTTTCATATACTCAGTATGTCTTCTTGATTTCTAGCTTCCTGCAACCGATGGCGTGTCGTGCTCTTCACTATGTATTCAAGGTTGGAGATAGGGGAAAGTGTGTTGGATTCTTGAAAGACGTGTTGGGTATGAAGGTATGTTGTCACCCATTCAACTTTTGTTTTAGCTTTTGAACAATGTGTTATTTTCCAAATTTTTAAGAGACTGTCTGGTTCGATCACTGATTTACACCATCTTGTATATTGCTAAATCAGGTCAGGGTCTTGACGATACGTGTTTTGTCGTCAAGTCAGATTCTTTTCCATTGGGTTGCAGGGGTAGAATGAAGGTCCCATGTTAGTCCCATCAACTCTAGTTCAGCATTTGCAACACGCATGTCGTGACCCGGTAGTCTACTGGGAGCCGGAGTAGTCCCGGTAAAACTCTACGGTCTTGGTGTTTTATGAAGGTGTGTTCTAAAAGCCGTTTGAAATTTTCTTCGGTAAACGCATCGACAGCAGTTTCCGATAGACGGTTCCAGTCATTAGCTACACAAATGGATAGTGACAGCAGTGCGCATTTTCTGCCTCATTCTGAACAACTTCTGTCTTTGACCTCGTGTCGAGCTACCTATATTGCGCTGGAAAAGCTACACTTGTTCTTTCCCAATTCATCTTTTAGTATGCGCTTAAAAAGATGGTCTCCACTCTCGACAGCGACGACAATATTCTATTGAGAACAGATTCATCTGCTAAAGCCGGGGGATTAGGGGAGATCACAAATCCCGAAAACGGAATTAGTGTCACGCCTGTGTATCTTTTCGAATAACGCACATGACCAGTCGTTGCCCCATCACGATCGTTGGATGCCTGCAGCCAATAGCAGAAAGACACGCCGGGTCATTGATCCTGATTTCGGACACGCGACACACGCAATACCCAAGATCTTCAACCTGTGTACGAGTGCAGCCTGTTGACCTAGTTGTCCTAAAGTGCTGACGTTAAACGCAGCCAGGACACCCGCGCTATTTGCCCTTATAAGCTGTTGTCGATTGGTCTCCACTGGGTGGTGCCGAGAGGTAGCTTCAATTGTTTTGACTCCAGTGACATAATGTCACTGCTGGTATTTATAGAAGGAAGATTAGCAGTGGGCGTTGGAAGGGCAGTGAGCGAAACAGTAGAATGTTTTCGCTTATGCGCCATGCTGTATGCAGCAGTTAAGGCGACCCTAGATAGGCTGCGGAACGGCTGATGCAAAATGTGTTTGGACTTTGAGGAAATATTGATGGTTACATGTGGGATGAGATACTGCTATTGCGCCAAAACCTAGACAGGAGAATGCTTAGAGTCTTCGACCAAAACCTTTGGCTCAAAAGCCTGTCTGCAAGGCATTGGGCGTATCAACGATTCGGCTATACAGGAATGGACGCCATCCCATTTCTAACCCCCAATCTAGAGACAGCTCGTCTGACTTCAAACTTTGACCTACCTCACGGGACCAGAAGTCCCCACCCAGTATAGCTCAGTGGGACGACAAGGTACAGCAACCGACGCACTACGTTAAGGTCCAGTCTCGTGGAGACGATTTGCGTACCTCGTCAGGTCATTGCATTTTTCCTGGTCGCAAATGACATCGCGCCCAGCAGAAATCGATTCTCGAAGCGTCATACACATATCAAAGATGTAAGGCTAAACACACTTTTTGCATTGACCAGTGTATGACCAAAATATGCCTCATTGGGAAACCTAGGGGTACACAACTCCATCACTCCTCAGCGCCCGATCGATAACCCGCGTTGACTGAGTCTGTTATCTGTGGTGCGGCCATCTGGCGCGTGATGATCATCACGCCGACTTTTACTTTGAAATAAACGACCGACCCATGCACTAGAATCCTCAGAAGGGACTGACATACTCAAGAGTTGATGAAGTTCGCGATAAAGTCGTCCTTGGTCTAATACGCGGAGCTCACAACCAAATTGCGTCTGTCCTCACGATGTCTGCTGATTCTGCATGAACGTTGAAACCGAACTGCGCGCAGTTGGTTGTTATTTGGGAACCATTCCGGCAGTACTGCCTGGCCTTTGCCACTCAATGTCTGCTTACCAGCCAAGGCTGCTTCTGGGTAACTAGGAGATTTGTGACTCCACAGTCAGTGGGTGATGTCAACCTGATAACTCTGCTGAGGTCTTGCACTGGGTTTCCGCAGAGTCAGTAAACATCAGTGGTGTAGGGTTCCATTGTATGCGCTGCACCATTTTGTTACCGTATCTGTATTAGTGTCCGTACCTTGAGGAATGCTAGACGGAACGAGGATCGAGATTGAAGCAGGACCACTAGTGGGGATCCATGAGTATCGGTGATTTCGGTATTGGAAGCAGATCCGTGAAAACATAGTTTGGATGACGGAAAACAGTAGTTGTTACCAAATTAACACTTGGTCTATGTTTTGATAACGCAAGGGTATAAAATGCAGAAATAGTTGAGTACAATGCAGAATGAACTGTGATTCTTCCAAATGACTTGATGATACTCGGTTGTCCAGGCAGACGTAGGGAGTTGACGTAGGAACACGATCCTGAGCCTTTGCTTGAGCGGTCTACCCACAAAGGAGCGGAGCAAAGTTAGAGAATCGCACCTATTGGAAGCAATTAATTGATTATTCGCCCCATACGCTTTTAGTTTATTCGCTGCTCATTTCTCCCTACACTCAACATCAGATTGCTAGAATACAATGCTCCATCACGATGGGACAAAAGGTAGTAACTTTATTTAGTGGCGAACCATGCTCATCACTTTGTATTGTTATTGAACACACATTTTTGGTTTAATGGGAAAAAGGATTGCTAGATGGAAACGCACTACGTTCTGGAACAATGCCACCGAGCCATTTGTTGGAACCATATAAGCCTGAATCGCCCAGCTAGTATCATGATCAGTTGCTTGGGATAGACCACTCAGAATCTTATCACACGTTCATACACACCGGGATAACGCTTATTCCTGTTACCTTTACAAAACGCCCAATTCTAAGACTTAATCCGTCATCCGCGATCTGCCTACTGGACGACCATGTCATTCTATTCATTGATATGATGATATGGCAAAATCGGCGATAAAACAAATAAAAACTTGTTCAGTTTATTCTGTTTCGTCCTCATTAAAGACAGCCTCGGCCTTTACATAATAGTTTCGCTTTCGCACTCAATTCCACACTTATGGTCTTGAGCCGTTTCTTTTGCAATTTAACGCTCTATTCGACCTTTTCTCACTTGATTTCTGTACATACATGTGCCTCAGCCTCTTGGTCTCTTTTTGTTATGGGAATTCTATAGAACCCCGTAACGCCCTTGCGGTGGAATGCTTACCGTGAGTGAGACAGCCTGGTTTGGCTGGTAATGGGTTTGATGGAATCGTTAGCCGCTTCTTGCTGCCTCAGGGAGGTAATCGGGATCAGTGAAGAAACTGCTTAACGCCATAACCCTTAGTCAACCACCAGTGATAGAAGGGCGCATTTTTTTAATCTTGGGATCCGTTTTCTTGAATTTGCTTTATTTCCCTCTCGGCAATCACGCAGTATCCCTAGACGGTGCGCGACTGGTGGTCCTCGCGAGGCGGTAAAGAGTTGTCGCGGGGCGCCAGCATACTACTGCTGTCTTTTTCTACTTCTGATTTTGCGCAGTGGCGGGCTCCATTGCACAACAGGGTCGTTTGTTATCACTGCGGTTAAGTCCGAACATTGATGTTTATTTCTGTTCTATCATTTCATATTCTATACCCTACGTAGATTTTGCGTCATGAGGAATTCACCGAGGGCTGCGAAGCATCCTGTAACGGGTGAGTCTGTTCAAGGTTTCTCTTATTAATGTTCCAACCTATTCTAGGCCGTACGATGGGAAATGGAGCAAAACTATGGTTGGCTACGGTCCTGAAGATACCCATTTTGTTTTGGAACTGACGTACAATTACGGAGTTGGGTCTTATAAATTGGGCAACGATTTTCAGGTAACTGTGATTTAGGTCAACTGCTTACCTTCCCAGTACATTCGCATCGATCTCCCTGAAGCCTTCGATCGGGTAGCACGTGGCCATTGGCCCACATTATCCGCGTCGAATGAATGCGTGGAAGTCGAGATGCCTGGAGGATATCGTTTCCAAATACATAACCAAAACCCACAAGCGGATCCTGTCCGGCTAGTTGCGTTGTCTTCCTCCGACTTACAACGCTCGGTTGGTTCGTCAACCTCCTGTTTTTCGTGAATACTTTTTGTCCCCCTCTAGACTATTGGTCAGGGCTTTGCGGCATGCGATTGGTGTCTCGCACCTCGACGGATGCGACACTATGCTTTGAGCAGGAGCAATGTCATCTGAAACTCATCTCCATTCCATCTCAGGTAGAGCACGCTAGTGCTTTTGGTCGCATCGCATTTGCATGTCCTAGAGATCAGGTACGCCAGATTGTTACTTACTCAGTTTCCCACCTCATAGCTCTTGCCCATTCAACAGTTAATGGATGACAAAAAGCAAACAGTGCTAAAGAGACTAGTCAGTTTGGATACACCTGGAAAAGCTACCGTTGAAGTGGTCATTTTGGCTGATCCGGTGAGTTGTTCAGCAGAATCTTGTGCATACTTGTCTCCCATTTATCCGACAACAATAGGGCGACCTTAGCCTTTAAGTATTGCAACCGTGTTGTCATTTTCAAGTGCCCATGGACCAAATATCCCTTTCCCCTGCGAAGTTGCCTCTGCGTTCTTTGCCATCTTTGTCGGCTTGCTGTGTCCGATACGGCTACCTGCGAGGAGAACATTGAGCGGGATGTTAAACTCTTTGATAAACGGCTTTTCATTTTGTTTGACGAATGGTGTGCTGTCTGTACTTCAGCGCAGTCCCGATGAAGTGTTTGTCACGGCGATTTCAACATGGTACCCTTTCCATGAATGTTTTCCGTCCTTGTCACTGTTCGTTTAGATGACGTTCCTACACGGATCGTTTGAGTACACCCTTTACTTATACAGCATCTTGCATCCATCGCTCATTACGGTTGTTCCGTCATAACAGTGTCGATTAACGGTTTAATTCATTTATCTGAATGTATGGCACCGCTTTATTTGTCGATAAAATGCGGTTTGGTTGGGAAGTAACTTCGTTTCCCATTCTTACAACTATCATTTTCACTTTTTGTATTTAACATCCTAGATGGGATGGATTCGTCATGCCTCCTTCGGTGCATCACAAGTCGATTTTGTCCGTTAGTTAAGCACGCGTCATCTTCTACCATTTTGCCAGGCGCATGAGATAGGGGTCTAGTCTGAGACGTATATTTGTTCAAAATTGCGGGTTATAACTGCAGTGCATTTGTATGGACAGGAACTTAACAACAGGTGCAGTATCATCTGGGTTCTGGCTGTCTGATTTAGTTATAAGCCGCAGGTAACCGGTTAGCGAATAGAGACAACAGCGCATCCAAGCGACAGGTTATCTCCAGGTTTTAACCCTTCAACGATCAACAGTCTTGACCCAAAATACTGTCGATGAGCGTTAAACAGGTGGCATCAATAGTTATTAGGTAACTTTTTAGGAGGTCACAAAACGGAGTAGAGACAATTTTGTTACCGACCACGGTGTGTCAACAGTGTTGGGCGGCATTATCTGTTTAGCAGCCCCACCTACTTGCGACATCAGAGTCATACATCTTTCACAAATTTTATCATCTATTGAGGAATACTGTTGTACAGTTGTGTTTAATACAGTTTGGCTGCGTATGATTCATGTCAAGAAAAAGACGTTATTTACCTTGTCCCTACACACGGATGGCAGTACGGGGTTGGTTTGCCAACCAACACCAGTGCTTGCTTTTCTGGCATCAGTACTACTGCGGTACGTAGCACCGATGTTGCATTGCCGCGCAACCACCACCAGTCGCACGTGGGTTAAGGATACTGCGAGGGTCGCCCGGTCCCTACGCAGGCTCGGACCCGCGCTCTCACCAACCCCTCCCATAAATTATCACAAACACCCCCACTCCCCCCCCCCCCCCCCCACCCAACCACCCCCCCCCCCATCCCCCCCAACACACCACCCACCCACCATCCCCCCCACCCACCCCCCCCCCCCCCACCCCCCCCCCCCCCCCCCCCCCCCCCCCCCCCCCCCCCCCCCCCCCCCCCCCCCCCCCCCCCCCCCCCCCCCCCCCCCCCCCCCCCCACCCCCCCCCCCCCCCTCCCCCCCCCCCCCCCCCCCCCCCCCCCCCCCCCCCCCCCCCCCCCCACCCCCCCCCCCCCCCCCCCCCCCCCCCCCCCCCCCCCCCCCCCCCCCCCCCCCCCCCCCCCCCCCCCCCCCCCCCCCCCCCCCCCCCCCCCCCCCCCCCCCCCCCCCCCCCCCCCCCCCCCCCCCCCCCCCCCCCCCCCCCCCCCCCCCACCCCCCCCCCCCCACCCCCAAAACACAACCAAAAAAAAAACAAACACCCCCCCCCCCCCCAAAAAACAAAAAAAAAAAAAAAACACACAACCCCCCCCCCCCCCCAAAAAAAAAAAACCCCCCCCCCCCCCCCCAACCCAAAATATAACCCCCCCCCCCCCCCTCCCCCCCATTATATTTATTTTTATCCCCCTCCCCCCCACCACCCCCTCTGGAATAATTTCGGGCGTTCAAAAAGGAAATGATGTTACATTCCGTCACTCACGCATACCTGCCACTCAATCTACCATGTTCAGAAGCAAAATACAGCATTGCGCACGGATTCACTCAGGGTGTCTGAACTTTATATCATTCGCAGAGATACGGGTTGCAGTCTGAGCGCCAAATATTATCCTCATGGTGGAATAATTACGTGCGCTGTACAAAAATTCGCGCAGCATTCCAATGATCGCTGTTGGTCTGTTCCCAATGAATCCGCCGTATTTCTAGACGCAGAACTTGTGTGCGCACAACCGCCGTATTCGATGCCGTAAAATAGCTCCAGGGACAGAATTTCCATCCAAATTACTACTGTATTCAAGCTCCCAGGAGATAGATACGTCATTTGCAGATGGCAAATACCTACTGCCTCGGTGTCTCATTCCAACACTCACATGGGTATAGGAATGAAACTCTCTATGTAGCGTGGCGCATGCGCTTCTTTTACTTTGCACTAAAAAACCCACAAATTCTGAAGAACAAGTATTATGACAATCAAACAGCACAACCACTACGGGGAGTCACTTGTCCCTGCGGCGACTTTGATCTGCGGCCTAAATTGCTCGCGCTCTTTTATGCGCTGGAACCATCGGCGAATTTTGTTCACAATCACTTATTCCGATGTTCCTGCGAAACCTTTTCGAATTAGCGCATCTATACTGAAAGCTGTGTATTGCAATTACGCAGCGTACCGATCATGGCACGGGTCAGCGGAGTGCCGCAGGTGCAAAACTTCGCATTGACTCCACGCCAGTTTACCTGGCGTACCAGAGAATTTGTCATTAAAGACAGCAGCATGCTGCACACACAGTCGGAGAGGGAATTGCCACCGAGCCGCTCAAACTACGTCATCTAAAACAATTTACAAAACCATGGACTGTACTACAATGTGCTCATAAGCTACTGTTTCTACTTCCCACATTCGCGCGACTTCATCACAATCCAATTGTTTGTTTGCTAACAATCCTCACTTTCCGTTACCCGATTCATGTGTTCAACAATCTGGCTGCGATTCCGGTTGCAACGCGGACCACGGAGTTCAACCGTTCTATCTGGCGTGCTTCAACGTTCGGACACTCATGCAGATTGGATAGCAAGCCGGTCTATCGCACACCCTAGTCTCTAAACCTTGATGTCTGCTGCTTTACAAAAACCCGGTTGCAAGATCCCAGCACTGTGCTTATACTGACATCCCCCACTGACCACGTAGTCAGATATCACCTGCGTCTTTCTGGAGATCCAGAAGCAGTCTCAGAGGGTTTGGCTGGTATAGGTATAGCACTAAGTGGCAAGGCCGAGGCGACACTATTGAATTGGTTCCCGATTAACAGCCGACTATGTGCAGTTCGGCTTCGGAGTTCGTGTAGAATCAACAAACATCGCGAGGAGAGACAACTTGTTTGTGATCTCCGTGTACGCTCCAACTGACCCCAGTGGCGACTTGGTCAAGGACGAATTCTGCCGGGATCTACATCAGCTTCTGACTAATGCTAAATTGTCGGATGTCGTTGTCCTTCTGGGGATTGTAATGCACGGGTTTGCCGCCTGTTACCATACGAACGCCACCTTGGTGGTCACGACGCACTCGATGAGAACCGCTCTGATTACGGGGAGAGGCCTCTCACATTGTGCGAAGGCAACCATCTATTTCACTCGAGCACTAATTTCAGGCGCACGAAAAAGCGTTGCGCGACGTGGCGTCCGCGTTCGCCAACACAACCGTGGTTTTAAATTGATCACACTGCAATTAGCTTCAGATGGCGAGGCAGCGTACTAGACTGCAGGTCCTTTTGGTCCACTTTCGTTGACTCAGATCATACACTGGTCTGCGCGAAAATCTGTATGTGTTTTGGGGTCCCGAACCACGAAGCACCGCAAGATTGATGTAAACAGATTAACTGATTCCTCTGTCCAGGCGAGCTGTCAGTCTTCACTGGCATATGCACTCAGTTGCAATCCACCGCAAGACGTGGAGCAACATTGAACTTGTATACCGAAAGCGATGACTATATCTGGACAGTCAAGCTACGACCTAACTCGACGCCCGCTAAACGCTTGGATCTTTGCTCATTCTCTGGAGCTGTTCTAACCTCGCAAATATACCCCTGCGAAATCAGGTTGCAACGAGCTGCGCCGTTCTGCCAACCGGCTGCTCAAGCAAAGCCTACGCAAGGATCGCGAGACATGGTGATCTGAGCGTGATTTAGAGATGAAAACCGCTGCTCTCTCTGGCAACACTTGCTAACTTTTCCAACTCATGCTTTCCAGTGGCCTCAGGAAGCCTGGTGTCAATGAGGTCATTTGCGAAGTGGATGAGCCTTCAATCACCAACCAACGGAGGCGTATGGACCGTTGGGCTGAACACTTTCACTCGCAGTTCAACTGGCTTCCACCATCCATCAGTACATGCAGTACACCTTCTTGTTCAACCTGGCTCATCCCAGTGAATCCACCCAGCGAAGCGGAAGTCTGCCTCGAGATTCGACGCTTGAAGCGGTTCAAGGCTGCCGGCTCAAACGGACTTCTTCCGGAGCTGTTCAAGTACGGCGGTGTGGTGATCATTAACCAGCTGACCTCGCTGTTCGCAAAAATGTGGCATGAAGAGAAAGTGCCTTTTTCTTGGGGCGAATCAGTTATTGTCCCGATTTTCAAGAAAGGTGCTCGCACTTCGTGTGTAAATCATCGCGGGATCAGTCTTATTTCGATTTCCTCCAAGCCATTGGCATGCATTCTGCTTCGTAGACTATCCCAAGTATGTGAACCCTACTACCGTGAAGAACTAGCTGGTTTCCGTCCCGGCCGCGAATGCGTGGATCAAATCTTCATGCTCCGCCAGCTCCTCGAACATCGCCACATTTATCACAGGCCCGCTATCGTTGCATTCCCACACATAGGTGGCGCTTTTGACTCCGTTGATCGACTTGCTTTATGGTGTTGCTTGCTAAAGAACGGTGTGCCAGAGAAATATACCGCCATCTTACGAGCATTTTACCTTCATACATCGGGCACAGTAAGGGTCTATGGCAAGCTTTCCTCGCAATTCGCTGTCAATAGCGGTGTGCGACAGGGCTACCCTATGTCCCCATTCCTCTTCAACTTCCCAATAGAAGACGTTCTGTCGTGTGCTCTAGAAGGTTGCCAACATTTTGGCCTAGAGCTTCTATCAGGTGAGCTCGCGGCCGACTTGGATTATGCTCATGATATCGCCTTACTTGGTGACCATCCTCAGAGTATTCAACTCATTCTGGATCGTTTGGCGGTTGAAGCATCTAAGTATGGCATGAGGTTCGCCCCATCGAAGTGTAAAGTACTACTCAAGAATTGGCTTACATCAATTACTGTGTTCACTCTCGAAGGTGCACAACTTGAACAGGTAGATAGTTTCGTCTACCTTGGCAGTTGTTTCTGCAGACGTCGCTACCAACAAAGAAGTTTCTCTTCGCATCGCTGAAGCTCGATCAGCATTTGTCAATCTGAGGCACTTGTGGCGCCGTTGCGACGTCTCATTCTCACTAAAGGGTCGCGTTTACAGCGCATCTGTACACTCTGTGTTGTATGGGAGCGAGTCCTGGCCGATTCGCATGGAAGACATGCGTCGTCTTTCTGTCTACGCTAACGGTTGCTTAAGGAAGATTGCTCGTGTTTGGTAGCAACATCGAGTTAGTAGTAATGACGATCGACGTCGCACCTTGGGGAATGAGAGTTTTCCCTTCTCAGGAAAGATGTATCTAATAAGTATCTAAATATTATCGTATTATTGTACGCGCGTAGCTCAGGCAGAGTGAGTGCTTTCGGCAAGCTGTCGTCGCCCTTTAATATCTCCAGCGGCGTGAGACAAGAATGCCCGCTGTCACCTTTCCTCTTTAACTTCGCTGTTGACGAAGTCATGGAAATCGCGTTCACAGGACACGACTTAGAAGGTGTGGAGCTACTCCCAGGAGAACGACTTCTTGACTTCGAGTATTCTGATTATATTGCCCTAATCTGTGACATCTCATAAACGTGCCAAGCGGCACTGGACAGATTAGCACTGGCTGCCAGCCTCTTCGAGCTTTGCTTTGCACCATCGAAATGCAAAGCGTTCCTCCAAGATTGGTCTGGACCGCCCCCTACGCTGACCCTTGGTGGGGATCAGCTAGAAGTCGTTCAAAAATTCAACTACCTTGGAAGTTGTATCAGCGCCCGTGGGATTGAAGATGAGATCACGAACCGTATAGCAAAAGCTCGGGGCGCTTTTGCTAACCTTCGCCACTTATGGCGTCAGCGCGACATCACTCTCGTCCTGAAGGGTAGAGTGTACAATGCAGCAGTACGTTCGACCCTACTGTACAGCTGCGAAATCTGGCCCTTTAGATCAGCGGACCTGAAGAGGCTAGTTACGTTCGACCACCGGTGCTTTCGCAACCTAGCTCACATCTGGTGGGAACACCGCGTAAGCAACGAGCGTGTTCGACGCCTTGTTTATGGCACAGCAAATGGAAATGAACAGCTCAGCACCGTTATTTCACGCACCAGGCTCCGATGGCTGCGTCAGGTGTTGCGCATGCCAGCTCACCGACTCCCGCGACGTGTGTTGTTTGCGCGCCGGCTGTGTGGATGGAAGAACAGAAGGTGGCCAAGCGATGACTTGGTCGAGTGGAATGTAGGTCCTCATTTCGAAGCTGGCCTCAGTTGGAGCGTCTCAGCTCCCTGTTTTGGGTCCGAAAGACAATGAACACGTTTGACTCGATACAATTGCTGATATGGCTAGGTGCTTAGCTCAGTGGCGTTCGTGCTGTGAGTTTCTTTGTCCCACCAATCCCTCTTATTCCACCCCCCCCAACCACGATCTCATTATTTAGCATTTTATAACTTTGCATAGTAAATTCTTTTTCTTTTTGCTGCATAGTAGCCGGCTGGCAGCTTTCCGGAACGA